CCACTATTGTCACAGAACGAGAAAAAGCCTGCTACAGCTGCAGTAACTACGCAGCTAAAAACTCTACGCCTGAAATCGATATTCAACCACATGAAATGTCTGAATCAGCCTCTGAAAATACTCCCAATGTTCTTGACAGTCCAACTATTGTTCTTGAGAATTCCACTACTAAGGAAAATATTCATGTTAATGAAACAGATGTCATTATCAGAATACTGATTATGAAATACCTACATCTGAACCTGATTGTACGAGAAAGATTTTACAGATCAAAAACAATACCCCTCAGCTTACAGATATGGTTTTCAACAAATCTGCAATAACCTCTGGAAAAAAAGTTGTTTTCACAAAGTTAAAAACAACGCCTTATAGGAAAATTTGGAGCTGTTCAGAGTGCAACGAAACATTTATAGAACCTATCACAGAAGACTGGATTAAGTGCATATCATGTGTTATAATGGTGGCATGAAAAGTGCAGTGCTTTCGCAGGTTTTGAATCTTATTAATGTGACATATGTTCATAAAATTACGTGCGCAATCTTACAATCCTAAATGCGTACTTTTAAAAAGCGGGTTTATAAGAGTACGCAAAAGCACTTTCTTCTTAGTTTCACTTTTTCTATTAAAGTAATAATGTTTAGTTCGCAAAATAATGTAAACAATTTAAACATTTCAAAAAATGGCGTAAAAATACATTTAAAAATACTCACAGAAATTAAAAGATTCTCTTGTCTCGTCTCAATAAATTTTTCTCTGCACTTTATGAAAATGATTTACTTTAATTAACTCTCTATCGAAAAACTCCTTCCCTGGTTCTGCTTATAAAAACAGTCCTGTCGATCAAAAGAACGTCCTGACTCACGTTTCTATCTCCTTTGGAATCGCCCCTATCTTCTTAACTACGAATCTCTCCGAGAATAATAATTTGTTTGTACTTACAAATTCTGCACCCTTTTCATCCGAAAAATCAGATTTCAAAACTTACTGACACTACTATTTTAACAAAATCTATACTTTTCTTACAACGTTTAAAATAAGAACACACACTTGTCGATTTGAGCTTTCTTCCTTCCCGTCCAACTGCAGATGATCACTTTTTCTCTTCAAAAATCATTTTCGTCTCTCAATCTGTTCCATAATTTTCTGTTGACCAATCAACATCCTCGATTCTCCAAGGGCCAACACTTTCCAATTCCAATAATTGTGTACAAAAATATGATACAAAGACTTTCTACTAATACGCTTAATGATTTGTTTCGTGGTAACCGAAATTTATCCTGAAAAATTTCAGGTAGATTTGATATTTCAATATATCATTTTATTTACTTAAACTAATCTTAAATACCTATCCTAATTTGAAAAGGCCGAAATTTACAACACAATAAAATTAAACCGTATATATATATAATATATATATTATATATATATATATATATAATATATATATATTAAATAAAATAAATATATATATATATATATATATTATATATATATATATCTAAATATGACATAACTATAACATGATTTTACAAATTTTGGGTGTCTTCTTTTTCTCTATTAATTTTTCTTTCACATACATTTTCGGATCATATCAGTATATATTAATATATCAATTATACACATATATATATATATATATATATATATATATATATATATATATATTTATTTATTTATTTAAGAGTAAGAAAAAAGAAGTACTTGTGACTCGTTTGGAAAAAATTTAAAACTGTTTTTGATGGGTTGGAGTCCATAAAAGGGGCTATTTGTTGACTATTTTTTACTCCAAGCTTTCAATTGTGATTACAATTATTATCAAGAGCTTCTAAAAAATATAAAATATCTTACAAAGTTGAACTAAAAATAAAAAAATTTTTGTTAACTCACCAAATAAAATTAGTTTTTTTATATAAAACTGCTGCTTACATATTAATTACAAAAAATATTAATAAAAAAATGTCTTATTCTAATAAATGTTTCTCTGAGAAATTTTGATGAAGTTTCTTAACAAAAACAATTGAATTTGTAAACAAAAATTGAATAGCTACAAACCAGCCTAAATGTCATAAATACTAACTTAAAAATTTTTATTTTTGACATATTGTCAAAAATAAAATTTTGTTTAAAAAATTCTTCTTTGTTTAGTAACAAAAAAGAAGAAGATTTATTCATTTATTCATATATTTATATATATATATATATTATATATATATATATATATTATATATATTATAACATATATATATATATATATATATACATATATATATATACATATATATATACAGGTGTGAGTCATAACTATTGGGTCATAGACTAAGGACAGGTTATTTGGACCAAAATATGGCTATTGGGCCAAATATGCCTTCATAAAATGTTGCTGAAAAAAAAGATACAGGGTGTTAAAGTTAATTTTTGCTTTTCGTCTTTTGCTAATAGTTTCCCTGTATATTTATAAATTGCTATCAAAATTGTCACAGTGACATATTCTTAGACAAGAAATAGTATTTTACTTACAATTCCACTATCAAATACCAAAACTAATAAACAAAGTGGCAACTAACGTAAGGTTTCCGTTTTGACGATAAATCAAAACTAAACACACTTTAACTTAAAATAACTCACAAAAACTCAAACTGAATGTTCTACATGGTCTCCTTCGATTCCTATGCCTTTTCTAATTCTTTTTATAAAGGATTTTCGGACGTTAAAAAAATATTATTCTGTCCCGTTATAAGATTAGCTTCATTTTGAATGTATCTCCAAAGTTCGTCTCATGTATTAATTTCAGTGGCATAAACTAAGGACTTCATATGTCCCCAAAAATAAAAATCTAGTTGAGGAAATACGTCATTAAGATGATTTTTCTAACAGCTAATAAAAAATGATGTGGCGCTCCATCCTGCATAAACCACATTTTTCTTCTTACATCCAGTGACAAGAGTATTTCCAAAAAGAATAAATAAGAATCTCTATTTAAATTCGGAGGAAGAACATAAGGCCCTAGCAGTTGGTCGCCTATAATGCCACACCAAATATTTAATTTAAACTCATGCTGAAAATGTCTAGGTTTTAATAGCATGCGGGTTTTCCCAATAATGACTATTTCGCAAATTAAAAACCCCTCGTCTGGTAAAAGTTTTTTCGTCGGTGAATATAAATATTCTTAATAAAGTGTCTGTCATTGCGATGTTTATTCAGAATACGTTGGCAAAACTGTAACCGTAGTGGAAGATCTGTTGGAAGTAAATTTTGAACAGGAGTGAAGTGATAAG